AACTGCAATTCTGAACCAATGTGAAGAGTTTTAATATGATTTAGTCTAAAAACAGCACAAGTGCTGCAGCCAAAGTCAGGAAGGAAAGATGCAAAGAACTGCAGACTGTGTAAAAGTGAAATTATTATGCTTATCAATATCGCTGTCCTTCCACATGTAAGCTGCTTGGATGTAGGTTGATTATTACAATTCAGGATTCAGTTTAATTGTCACTTTGCATCACAAGATTGCACAACAAAATTACAGATGCTGTCATTTTAACTACTCATGAAAAATCCAATTATTTAACAAATAAGGCTCCGACCCCCCTGAAGAGAATAAAAAAGTGTTTAGAAAGTGGATGGATGGACATTCTGCTCCCACCTCCTCTCCCTGGACTGAACATTCGTGTTTGCTCTTTTCCAATAACTGGAATGTACAATGTGTGGGGAAGTTCCCAAGAGGCACGACTAAGTGTGTGAGATATAATACAGGGACATCCTTAAAACCACTTTCTATGAGAAAATTTTAATGATCAATAGATACATATAAAGTCACGATTGTCTCACGATGAGGAGGTTTATATTCACAATCACCTGTTCACACCTTGCAAGACAACAAGAATAAGCACACACAAAAGGAGATATTTAATGTTGTTAAAGTTTTGTATGCAAATTACATATATTCTGGCACACAATGCATAGTTTAAACTGACCAGCACATGCCTGGTACAGTGCAAACCTCAGGGACAAAGAACAAGTGCAGCAAATAATGCAAGACATCACTAACTGCCTGGAAACATCACCAAGACCTCGCTACCTGGGAAGCTCTAGTGCCTGCTTTTTGGACTTCTTTCACGGATAATGTGGCCACTCACGAGCTACGAGGTCCCAATAACAACTGTGGAGAAGATGGAGCGAACTATAACTTCATGTGTCAAGAAATGTCTCAGTGTCCTGCGCTGTCTGACAACATCAGCCTCTATGGCAAAGGGGGTCCTTGAACTACCGATCACGAGCCTCACCGAAGAGTACAAATGCTCTAAGGTGAGATTCCAGGTGACTTTGAGGGATTCGAGAGACCTTATCATCAGTAATAAAGCACCGTCCCTGTTAATAGGAAGGAAATGGACACCATCCAACGCGGTGCAGCATGCTGGGTCATGTCCAGCTGGGAAGAGGAGGCTTTGGCCTAAACCAACTTGGCGTAAGGCCTCGACATCAGAGAGAAGGAACATGGTCATCGAAAATTGTTTGTCTCACTCCTTTTTGGCTCTCCAGCACTCTCACTGTCTTATCTGCCACTTGCATCTGAATGTCTGCAGCTTTGCATACCACCTGTTTTATTGTTATTCTAATGGTTAATTCAATATTGAAGTAAACCAAATAAAGAAATTAATAAAACACAAAATGGAAAAATCAAACACTGTGCGCCCGTTGCATCAGAAATCTTGTGTAATTTTTGCTACCAGAGAAGGACAGATCCTCTCTGATGGGTGTGCAGATAATTCTTTATCAGGCCTGTCATCTTACATGTCAAGAACCGCAAACTGGATATTACATCATGAGAAAGATTGTGTCTGAACTTGAGTGTTGCTAAAATGCTTAAGATAGCAATCTCTCTGTTGCATGGCTTGATTTTATTTTATTACTTTTTTTCTTTCTTCTTTTTGTTTTTGTTTTATTTCTAACTTACTTTTATTTTGTAGATGGCTTGGGGTGAGAGGGCAACTGAATCATTTTATTTGTGTCACTGGATATGTTCACTGTCACATCGGTTGTACATATTGGGCAGCTATAGGTCTTATTTTTATTTTAAAAAAAACAAAAAACGTTTTAAAGTTAGGTGTCAAACAAACACATGAACAAATGAAGAGTTCATTTGCAAAAACAGAAAACTCTATTTTTACAAACTTTCAGGAAACCCACTTTTCTGTTGTCTACCTGAGACAATATCAATCAAACTTAAGTTATTTCTATTTTTGTCATTTCTACTGAGTCAAATCCACTAAACTTCACTTTGATTGATATTATCTCAAGGAAACAACAAAAAAAAAACAAGCTTTCTGAATGGAGTTATCTATTTTTGCAAATGAACTCTTCAAATAAACTCTCAAACAAATAAATGTTGAAAAAAAAAGGCTAAATAAATATGCATTGAGGGTTATTGGTGCAATTCTCCGTGGATCCTGCAGGGGGCAGTAACTCAGCCAGAAGCGTCGAAACGTGTCGTAGAAGTAGAACAAGGAGCCAATAGGATTCACCCTCATTTCACTGAGCTGCTGCTGTGTCTGTCAGCTGAGAAAAACTGTACTTTAATCACAAACATTGGAGTGTATGTTGCCCATGAGCGGTGGACGATGTCTAGCCGGGCTCTGCGAAGGCTCAAGGGGAAGCAGCGGGGTCAGGAGGCCTTGGACTTCGGGGATGTAACTTTGGGTGACAGCCCGGAGGAGCAGGCTGAGGCTGAAGAGGAGCAGCTGGACGAGGCTAGTGTTTCTCCCCCGACTGAAAGCAAAGGCAGCAGCCGAAAGGCAAAGAAAAACAAAGCTCAGAAGAACTTCAGCAACATTTTTGAACTGGTGAGTGTTGTTGGCGTCACGTGTTATTTTGACGTAATGTCGGGTTTGTGTTTCTTCCTGACACCTGCTAAATGCTAGTTGGTAATTCTAGCTTGCTAAAGCAGGTTAGCCGGGTGGCGTTAGCTTCCATCTCAGCTTATTTAACTGAAGTCACTTACAGTAAATTGTAGCTTAAAGTGTTCCAACCGGGTTAGAAAACCACTAGGAAGTAGTCTATATCATAAACCTCAAGAGAAATTACCTAATATGCGTTATAACAGCGTGTTTACTAGCCTCGAAAAGTGGTCCTGTTATAAAAGCTAATTGCGCAGGCTCTAGCTTATCCCTTTAGCTTCAGGGACTTGTCCAAAACACATATTGGACACACGTTTTCCTGAGTTAAAGACGAGCATGTTTTATTCTTTAAATCAATGATCTTTTTATTACAATGTCAAACAAGAGAATTAACAATGTAAAGATTTCCTCTTTGCGTTAGAATAGAGACGGAATAGAATAGAATAGAATAAAACTTTATTAACACTATTTACTATTTACACTATTGATCCCTTCGGTGTAAAACTTCAGGGAAATTGTTATACTAGAAAAAACAACACAACGCCAACACAAAATCAGCAACAACAGTAAATGTTCAACAACAATAGTAATAACGTTTACACAGCAGTATAAAGTAAAAATAGTAGTGAGGACAAATTGTGCAGTGACAACCCAAAATCCCAGAAGTGAAAAAGACAAACCAACCAAAAACAGACAAACAAACAAACAAACAATCATGGCTCAATCTGCAAAACATTCCCGGCACAACCCAATATAATCAGAGAGTGACACTGGTAAGAAGTCCTCAAAGCAGCAAGAAATGTGCAAGACTGGATGTCAGGTTCTTTTCTCTTATCTTTATTTCCCCTTTCCTAGTCTCAAACTGAAATTGCAGTAAATAAATTAAGGATGGATGTAAGTAGAATCAGTGGGGTATCTTATAAAGGGTCCCCATACTTTTTCAAATCCCCCCCTTGGTTCTGAACAGTGATCTTTTCCAGGCTCAGGCAGGACATTACATCTGATAGCCACTGATTGTGGGTCAGGAGGGGCAGCACCCTCTCATCTGAGCAAATTAACACGCCCGGCTAGGATGGAAGTGCCTGATAACATGCCACGGACATCAGAGGAGACTTTTGTGGTTCCCTGAGTAAACACCAAATAAGGCTAAAAGGGGGTCAAGCGTGATAGCTACCCCAGAGACCACGGATAGAGTTTGAAAGACCTCCTGCCAAAATGTTCTAAGATTGGGGCAAGACGTGCTTCTTTTAATTCTCGACCAAATTTTGGACAGATTTGGATGTGAGTCTTTAAAACTAGTGAAGTGTATCGTGCTGGCAATACCTTTAGATAAATAATGTCTATAAACTAAAAAGAAATTTATTTTTACAAAAGACAGATCTTTTTTTTTGCATCAGCTTAATGAATTGAAGCTAAAATAGTTGTGGTACACTTAAAATCATCTTGTCAAAACAGGAAGCTCTTTTAATACACAAGCTGTTTATATTAATCAACTAAAGGAAACCTTCATTCAGAGCTCATATTTATAAAGAACTCTGATTTCATGCCACAAACCATTCACAAGCTGTGGTTCGCTGAGAAGACAAATCTGTCTTTGCTGTAGCCGTGACATCATTTCAGTAACATATTGTGTCTTGGTATTGATGCAGTTGTTTTCAGTGTTTCATCGAGCTGCTTTACTCACTGCATTTTCTTGCCTGTCTCTCGTTTTTACTAGATCGGTGACGCAGACAATGAGGCAGAGAAAACATCCCCCGATGAAGAGGCAGAGAAACCAGATGGAAATAAAACAAGCGGCACGGGAAAGAATGACAACAAAGACGTTAAGAAACCAGATCGACAGCACGAGGAAGCGTCCGCCAAGGTGACGTTAAAGTGGTTTTTAGAAGGATGGCTTTCTCTAATCTTCCAAAGACAGTGAAATGTTCTGATCTAAATGTGCATCTTTCTATCACCTCTCTGTTAATAGTCATCGTCTGGAGACAGAGTTAAAAAGAAGAAGAAAAAGAAGAAAACAAAAATGACATCAGAAGATGGCCAGGTAACATTTCTTGAGAACATGTCTCCTTTGACAAGACAGCTGTTATAACACACACAATATACTGAGCATTATCACTTTATCAAAGTATGCACATCATTTTAGAGCCACAACCTGCACTCACAACGTCCACAGCCGTGCTTCATCTTCGCTAGCTAACAACAGATTTGTATTATCTTAATGACGTTCGTGTGTTTTTTTTTTAACGGATTCAGGAAGCAGCAGCAGATGATAACATTGATTTATTGCTGGAGAATCTGGAGCAGTCCAACGGTCTGAGTTTGCAAAGTGAGGATTGTGGAGGATTTGACAGAAAGTCTGTGCTGCACGTGGAACACAGGTGAGATAACCAACATGTTTGATGCTGACGACATAAAGAGATTCTGTTTAGATATCCCATGTGGTAGTTTTTTTCATCACCCACACTTGGCTTAGGTGGTGACAGCAGCATCAATCTTTACAGTTACCAGCACACAAGACCTTGTGTTGCCTTTATTATTAAAATAGGAATTCTATCTTCTACATTGAAGCTGTTACATGGTTCAAAATACACACAAGTAAACATGAATCTGTTTAGTGGAGTAGAAGGGCTAAAGCAGCTCTCAACCAGTGCCGAGCAGACATGACTTTACTGGGTTAGTGGTGAGTTTAATTGCCCCATTTATGTTCATTTATAGTTACAGAGAATCTTAACTTCCACCATGTGGTGGCGCTCAACCCACACAAGAAAAACTAAATATATGGAGGCTGTTAATCTCAGGAGTTCTGCTGCATCGAATCAGCACAGAATTTCTAAAAAGTTCAGATGTGTTGGAATATATTGCACATCTGGCTACACAAATGGTGACAATGAAGCAGATCATCTAAAGGTAATCAGCCGTGTTGACAGCAAAACATCTCTTTCAGTAGTACGACAGCTATTACACAGAGCAAGCAGTTAGAACTCTGCACAGCCAATACGTCATTGATGGAGTGTCCATAATATTCAGTCAATCATATCGAGGCATTTCACTGAATTTTTTTTAGTTTGTTTTAGTGTAACCTCCATGGAAGCCTAATTTACTGTTCAGGTTCACTGACAGACGATTTAGACCAGGGGTCTCAAACTCTACTTACCCGGGGGCCGCTGGAGGTAGAA